TGTATAGTTTCATATCCTCTCTGAGATGCCTTTTTTTCTAAAGAAAACAAATGCAGTTTATTCAAGCCAATGTTTTCCACCCCCCTTACTGATTTTGTAGCTATCCTTTGTACTTTTTTATAGTTTTGCAATATCCCTCTTTATAACTAGTGTCCAAAATGCACAGCATATTCAACATGGGTCTTGCCTATCTTTGATTGTAGAGTGAAGCAATATAGTGTTTAGACTTTCAATGCCAACTTCAAAATTATTTATAATTACACTTCTCTTTACAGATTAATCAGAAGTGGACTCCGAACAGAACCCTGAGGCACTCCACTTACGACTTCTGTTCAATCTGAACATTTTCCATTTACAACTGCTCTCTGCAGTCTTTAAGCCAGTGTTCTATCCAAGAACCAGATTGTTCATCTAAACCAACTGATTTCCATTTTAATTGTAACCTTTTACGTGGAACTATATTAAACGCCTTGGCAAAATCCAAGTACATCACATCCATAGTTCTACTAAGGCAATTAAGCTACTTTGGAATGACCTATCTTTCATAAACCATGTTGATTCTTGCTATTGATATTGTTCAAAATTTATTCTTGAATATTATTCCTTAAATGCCATTTAAACAGTTTCCAATCACAGATGTTAAACTCACAGGATTGTAATTTGCGGATTGAGCTTTAGCAGTTTTTAAATAGAGGCACCACATCCAGTTTATTCCAATCCTCCAGTAGAAATCCTGAAAGATTAACACCAGTAGCATGGATATTTCTACACTAAGCCCCCTGAGCAATCCTTGACCATCTGGTCCTGGGGCTTTATTTACATTAACTTTATTTTACATCTTATGTGTAGTACAATAAATATAGACTACTTTATTGGCTCTGAAATAATAATGCACGCCCACTCAGCAGACTTAAATGGCTGGAGTAGTCACGCATGTAAGCCCCGTCTCCCTGAAGAATCAGAGAGCAACTCTAAACTCGGAGTGGCATTGCCAGTTGCTGGACTTAGAGGCTGCAAATGAACAGCTGCAAAGGGGGTGATTTGATCTGCACTTTTAAAAAGTATCAATAAAATGTTAATTTTACCCCCTACCCATGACTGATTTGAGCATACATCAATCCCACACAGAAGGTAGCTCATTGGAGCTATTACAGTTTGAGCAGATAGCACTATATTACACTAAATATTCTTTTTTCTGTATTTAGGTTTTATCATGCTTACAGTAGGTCTGCCAGATTCATTCAGTAAGAGGAAAATGGGCCAGCACTAAATAATGGAGAAAGAGGCAGCACACCTGAGAGGGGGAATTCCCTCCAAAACCCCCTAAAATCAAATAAGAAAAAAAAAAAAACAGGGTGCACCTAGGACAAAATGTAAAAGCCAGATATGTGTGAAATAAAACAGAGGAGCATATGATAAAATATAATAAAATACTAAAGTAAAAAACAATAAGATTAATAAGGTACCCAGATAAATATAGCAGTCCCAAAATCGTAGTACATATATATTAAATCATGTAAGTAGAGATTGTGGCCGTATCAGTCCAGTGATGCAGATGTAAAAAACAGATAAATTTGGTATCTTGTAATACATTTTTTATTGGACTAACAGAATTTTTTTTAATGACAAGCTTTTGTAAGAACCTCCCTTTTTCAAGTCTAAAGCAATTTTGAGCAAAGACAACACATAGAATTCAAAGTTGAGTTGTGATACAGAGGTTAAAGAAACATGAGTGCAGATAAGACACAGGTTTGATAGAAAATGGACATCATTCTCTCAGAGGGTGAAGAGAGGGGGTAGAGAGAGAGAAAAAAAAAAGAAAGTGCAGAAGATGGTGCTAGAAGGGGAGAGTAGACAAATACCAACCTACACCAAAAATACATGAATTCCCATCCAAGAGATACAGGATATGCTGACCTATGTCCAGCATAGACAGACACACACACATACCTAAAGCGACATGAGTGCATATGTGTATATACATGCGGGAGTGTGCATGTGTATGTCCGTGCACACTGAACACAGGCCCCCATGCACTCCCTGCAACTCCCTTTTTTTTTTTTATGATTTCGAATGATAGAACATATATATATGGTAATGGGATCATTCTAGTCAAACTCTTAAGGATATATTGTTTCAGTATATTCATTATGGGGTATTGTCTAGCTAAGGAAAATTTAAAATATGAGAATTGAAAATCAAGAAATTTAAGAATTTTAAAGACTTTGTATAAACTTAATAATACATTTAATAATATTGATATTGCTATTGTATCCAATAATACTGTTATTGTGTCTGATAAAGATAGAGATGTACTGTGTTCTTAAGTATAATTTTTATACTAATTTCCATATTAATTTTCCATATAAATTTTTGTTATTAAGGGGTATGCCCTTATACAATTGTTATTTTGTGGTAAATTCTAAGGATGATTTGTAGTATTAGGCATATATTGTAATGAGCTTTTGATCACATCTAACTATATTAGTGTTATATTGTGACCGAGCTCAAGTGCCAATAAAGTTTTATGCACATTCATCTGGCCGCGCATGCGCGCTGAATACTTCCCGAAAGCTACTGGTCTATGGGGGTACCCGTAGCTGGACGGAAGTCAGTGTCGGTGTGCACATGCGCCATGGCAAGTTTGAGCGCGAATATTGAAAAAATTTAAGATATAAGAAGAGACAACGGCGGAGAGAGGATCATAGCGTCTACAGCTCCTACGCGGGACGAAACACGTTGAGCCAGAGCCATCAAGTTAACACATTCAGCAGTCCAGAGACCGTAACTTAATTACCACGTTCACATTGTATTGCTAGCTGCAAGTATATTTTAAGCCCTAGGAATCGCGACCTAGGGCTGCATGTTACATCTATTGTACTTGTTAGTTAAGTGGTTGAAGTTGGGATTTTTTTCCCTGGTCTTGCAATCGAACTGCTTTGTATTATTTCTTGGCACTAATTGTTTGATATTATATTTATATACTTTTATATACTGTGCAGTGTGCACAATACATTTTTTGATTTTTGACATTATTATCACGTTTCAACACTTGTCTGTAGTGATTAGCGCCCTCATTAGGTGGGCTTGTCCCCACCTGTTTATTCTCTTATTTTGTTTTATAGGTTTTTTGTGGTGTGCCTATAGAGTGGCAGCTTTTCACCTATAGTGTGCCTATAGAGTGGCAGCTTTTTTTGGATCTACTACTTTTTTGTATTAGAACATATATAAAGGATTGAGACATGTTAAAGATGAGACAGTAGAGTTACTAATAAACATCAAGTGTATGAAATGTTGAACAGATTAGAGACCTTATGTAAACTCTAATACACTTAATATAATACATACTCACTGATCCAAATAATCGTGGTGTCTGCAGACTGAGTCATAATGGGAACTGAGGCACATGCCTCTAGAATGCAGCAGCGGGCAAAAAAGTTAAGTGGCTTTGATGGACATTCACCATACATAAGAGTACATATGAGATACAAGACATACGGTTAAAGGACATACTTATGGAACTCTTAGGAGTACTTATACTTATAATTAGCCTTGAAGAATAAGGTTGAAGGCAACGGC